TGTTCGGCGACGGTGCTTCGGGATTGGTAGCTCATCATTCTTTGCATCCTTTCCTTCCTTTCCAGCAGCTCCAGGATCCTCACCTTTTCCCTTGGTCTCCTTCAGTTGGGCCAGTGATGGTTTGACCCAGCCAATCTTTGTCTGTTTGAAATGTCTCTTGTCTTGTATGATATCCTCCATAGTGGGTAGGTTCTGTGGAGTATCATATCTTGATCCTGGTGTCATCCATCGTCTAATGTTTGTTTTGGGGAATTCAGGCCGAACTTTAAGCAGAGCTCCAGCCTTCACAGAAAGGCCACCATCTTCATCATCATCACTGGACGATGAGCTCGATGATGACGTCGACGATGAACTGTCCATGCCACACTCCATGGAACTGATGCTGATGTCATCAAGGCTGTCACCATCACAACCTTTTGGTGTTTTTTTTCATTCTTCACTCTTGCCTTTGGATCAGCCTTCTTTCGGGTTGTCTTTTTTGTTGGCTTTTTCTCATCTGCCGTGTTTCCTTTGTTCATCACATTCCTCACTTGTTTGTCTGTCATGCCGACAGTTGAGAAGCCAAGGGCTGCAGCACTTGGCCGTCCTTTTGTATCTCGGTTCTTCTTGACATCCTGCTCCTGATCCTCAGTCTTGTGCTCCTTGTTGGTTCTGCTTTGGCCCTCCTTGCTGTGTTCACAGCCTGCAGCTTCAGCATCACCCACCTTCTCATCTTCATCTTCATCATCCATGTCTTCGTCTTTCCCTTTTCCAGCATCCTTCTTTCCTTCTTCATCAGCTTCGCTACCCTCCTCATCTGCATCCTTCTCATCGTTGCTCTGCTCGTCATCTTCTTCCTCCTCATCTTCATCCCTGTCCTTCAGAGAGTCTTTGCCATCTTGGCTCTTCTCCTCATCTACATCCATCTTCTCACCATCTCCCTGTTCTCCTTCTTCCTCCTCATCTTCATCGCCATCCTTCAGCAAGTCTTTGCCATCCTGGCTCTTCTCCTCATCTTCGTCCTTCTTCTCATCTTCACTCTGTTCTCCTTCTTCCTCCTCATCTTCATCGCCGTCCTTCAGCGAGTCTTTGCCATCCTGGCTCTTCTCCTCATCTTCGTCCTTCTTCTCATCTTCACTCTGTTCTCCTTCTTCCTCCTCATCTTCATCGCCATCCTTCAAAGAGTCTTTGCCATCCTGGCTCTTCTCCTCATCTTCGTCCTTCTTCTCATCTTCTCTCTGTTCTACTTCTTCCTCCTCCTCATCTTCATCGCTGTCCTTCAGAGAGTCTTTGCCATCATGGCTCTTCTCATCATCTGCATCCTTCTTCTCATCTTTGCTCTGTTCTCCATCTTCCTCCTCATCTTCATCATTATCCTGCAGAGGGTCTTTGCCATCCTGGCTCTTCTCTTCATCGCTACTTTCCTTGTCGGATGTGTCAGTGCTGCTGTCTTCGCAGTCATCAGAAGAATCAATTTCTACTTCCCAAGCACGATGTCCAATCCTAATAATTTCCTTCCTTACTTCCTTTGTCCTGGCACCCTCAGTTTTGTCCAGCTCTTCTTCATCATTGTTGCTCTCATCAGAGACCCCTGTCGACCCACCATCATCACCTTCTTCTGCGTTGCCTTCATCATCACGTGTCAACTCAGTTGTTTCATTCTCATCATTGGCACCTGAGTTGTCCTCAATCTCGTCAGGCGGGAAAGGGTCATCTTCTGACGGGTACAAGGAGGAGTCTCCAAGTTGATTGTCAGGATGCAGCACATCATCTTCGATTTCAATTACCTCCTTCATCTCATCTTCATCTTCTTCATCCATGTCTGTGTCATTCCCTTTCCCTGCATCATTATTTCCTTCTTCATCAGCTTCGCTACCCTCCTCATCTGCATCCTTCTCATCGTTGCTCTGCTCTTCATCTTCTTCCTCCTCATCTTCATCCCTGTCCTTCAGAGAGTCTTTGCCATCCTGGCTCTTCTCCTCATCTTCGTCCTTCTTCTCATCTTCTCTCTGTTCTCCTTCCTCCTCCTCATCTTCATCGCCGTCCTTCAGCGAGTCTTTGCCATCCTGGCTCTTCTCCTCATCTTCGTCCTTCTTCTCATCTTCACTCTGTTCTCCTTCTTCCTCCTCATCTTCATCGCCATCCTGCACAGAGTCTTTGCCATCCTGGCTCTTCTCCTCATCTTCGTCCTTCTTCTCATCTTCACTCTGTTCTCCTTCTTCCTCCTCATCTTCATCGCCATCCTGCACAGAGTCTTTGCCATCCTGGCTCTTCTCCTCATCTTCGTCCTTCTTCTCATCTTCACTCTGTTCTCCTTCTTCCTCCTCATCTTCATCGCCATCCTGCACAGAGTCTTTGCCATCCTGGCTCTTCTCCTCATCTTCGTCCTTCTTCTCATCTTCGCTCTGTTCTCCATCTTCCTCCTCATCTTCATCATTATCCTGCAGAGGGTCTTTGCCATCTTGGCTCTTCTCTTCATCGCTACTTTCCTTGTTCTCACAACTTCCATCACAACTTTCATCACCGTCAGTTTCTCCCACCTCTGATGGAGCAGATCTCTTCTGACCTCTCTCATCTTTGTCCTTTGTCGGCTTCCCTTGTTTGCCATCCTGCTGAGCTGCAGCTCTGACTGAGGATTGGTTAGATTCTTAAGTGGCCCATATTGTAATTAATAAAAGTTATGGTTGCTTAAAGAGCTGACACTAGGCACCTACAATTGGGACCCATCGGAATCCTCATCCCCCTTGGCAGGGAGAGCACCACTAGCCAACCTCAGCAGTTTTTTGTTGATTCATTAAAAATAGTCATTGCTGCAATCACATTTATGACAAGTGGCATTGCAGCATCATCCAAAGGTTCGAAGTCAAAAAACGGCTGGGTATCCATTTGATCTGGATTCCTTGGTTTCCCCCAACTCTGGATCAATGTAGGATATATAGTACGAGTTGTGTGCCATATTGTGTTTGAAGTTCCAAGTGTCACAGTTGGTGCTTTTGTCGTTAAGCTGGACCTGGATGAAGAAGTACCCCTATATTTCATCTTCTGTTGCCTCTTGACCACATAGTGGCAACGGGCAGCCTTGATGATGGGCATGGAAAGTGTGAGATAGGGTGAGATGGATCAATGAACTACCCTCTGGTAATTTAACGTAGCTATTGAAAATGGCCATTAATAGTTGATTTTCCCATAAAAAATGGTGATTTTCCATAGCTACGTTAAATTACCAGAAGGTAATGAAGTAATGAACTTTAACAAATATTTCATCTGCAGTGAAATAAAGCCAGGTGTCTTGTTCCCGGATCCAGGACTCAGGGTCAACTTCACTTTTGGGGCCTGAGCTGAGAATAGGAGTCTACATGTATAATATCAAGGATTACCAGTTGTGTTCAACAGCAAAAAAATAAACCAAGTTGCAAAGGGAATGCCGTTGGATAAGGGTACGGAGGATCTTACGGAACTCCATTTCCCTCGGAACCCGCGTGGCTTTGGATTTTCGCCAAGCCCTGCGAAGCCACCAGTTTCCCTTGATCCTCAGATCACCCCCTGGGACCAACTCCTTCTCTTCATGGATTGACGCAGCATCAGGCATATATCTCTCCATAGCTTTAAAGATACGCCTCAGGTGGCCAATGGGCGAAACCATGCCCTGCAGTGTGCTATATACTTTCCTATCACCATACCCATTTGCAAACCAAGAATCCGCCCATCTGTGGAAAGGTCTCGAATGAAAGCAGGATCATCAGCCATGGCAAGGGCAGTAGTGGTCACACCAGTAGGACCCTCCTAAAAAATATAAATAATGAACTTAGGCCTTCGTTGAGTGTATCCTGTGATGGGGTGGTAAGATCTCTCCAGATTGGGTCATCATGCCTTTATTCCTTTGTTTGATTGCACATGTGCATTACCTGAGCCTGCAGGTGCTGCATGGCTGGGCTACATGGGCGCTTGTCCGGAACCCTCACCTATCATCATCATTCTATATCACCAACATATGATCCCAAGTTGCCATTGGCCCATTCAGGATAGATAATGGCATACATAACAAGTTTCTATAAAGCTATCATCATACATAACCAAAAAGGGTCACTTAACCCTTCGATATCAAAATGATAAAAAGGTCACTTAGGCCTTATGAAGATATCATGGATGTGGTAAGTGACCTCAATCCATTTCGATGCTAAATGACCTCTAATGGAGGTCACTTTGAAGAACCTGGTATATATTTCTATTCACTTCATATCCACTAGCATGGACTACTCATCGAATATTTAACATCAGTGTTTGAACATGAACAATGATAATGACAATACTATATACATACTGACATATCAATGGTATATATATATAGTCCATTAACAATCTACCAATTAATCTAGAAATTGATTTATTGACAGTACATGTTTACCAGATATCTATGGTGGTAAAATTTGGTTTACCAATCTACCAATCTGCGAATATTTACTGCTAATCAACCTGTATTTATGATAGTAAAAACAACATCTACAACAATCATTTTTTAGGAGATTCTACCATTCACATCTACCAAAAAAAGAGGAACGTCTACTAATCCACTATATCTACCATTATCTACCCAACTATATTTTGGGGCTTCTCGAAATGGGGGATCCCCAAACCCACCATGGGTTTCAATACATTTTTCATGGTCATGACACGGATGATTTGGGGTATCACCCATTTTAGGAAACCTCCGTTTGATGGGATAAGTTGGATAGTGACTCTTGCAGTCTGGATATTGTTACCTACTCATTAGTTGTTTTAGTGGTTGTTTTATATCTACTATATCTACTATATTTGTATCATTCTATCAATGGCCATTTCAGAAAACCTAAATTGGAGGTACCTACCATATACAAGGCCTATACGTATAAGGCCTATGTAAGGGAATATCCCAGCAAAATATGGCCTTATATGGTACAGTACCTCCATTTTAGGATCCTGAAATTCCCATTGAATCTATATCTACTAAAATCGATTACGATCATCACGAATCTTCCGCAGAGGCGCCCGTCCTGGCGCTGCTGCCGAAGAGATGCCCAAGGTGTTGCTTAAACGGGGCGAACGGCTTTGGGCTTTTAACCTTAAGGCGTTTTCCCTTGGTTGTTGCTTGTTTTCTTTAAAGAGAAAGAAACAACACATTAGTTTTCCCTTGGTTTGTTCATTTTGTTTTTTAATTGTGCTTGTTTTATTGATTTGCATGTGTTCGATGTTTTTTCCTTGCTTTTCATGGGTGTTTCCCTAGTGTTGATTGGTTTTCGGGTTGTCATGAAGTTGACGCTGATGAAAATCGCAGTGATCATCAGATGACATCATCATGATTGTCAGGATCATTATCATGATTATCATGATCATCATGATCATCAGGACCATGATTATCATCCACTACATTAATACATCATCATAAGGATGATTTTCATATATTATCATGTCAGGACCATTATGATAGTCATCAGGACATCATGACCATCCTTATCATAGAATTGGATTATGGGAAACTTTACAGGAAAGCCCTATATTTCATGGTAAAAACCATGGTTTCCGGTTAAGATTCTCCCAACAAAACCAGTCCATTGATTAACATTATGACATGATGACTATCATCCACTGCCAGGCTTCGAACGTTGCTGGTGTCTTTCGCGGCGGAGTTGGATGGCCGGATGATCGATGGATCGATCCGCTTTTTTTTGCCCGGCTGGTAAACGTTCCATGATTCTGTTCGGAGAAACCCATATAACAAATGGTTATTATATAATACATCCTATGATTTAGAACCATTATTTAAATGATTATATATATTTATAAGCCATTATTATATAACGTTATTTAAACAACCGTTATATATACCCTATGGTTATGACTAACATAGCCATGGTATAGATGGCCCATAGAAATAGATTGTTCTTCATGATTTACCTATGAAAAAAATAGTTATTCTCCATAGCTACGTTAAATAACCAGAGGGTATATATAATATCGCTTATATCAGCTATATCTCTATATCAGTTTAATATCAGCCATATATCAATATCAGTTTGATCACTTTTATATCCAATATATCACATCGGTGGTTATATATATATCTATATCAGCTATATCCAATCGTGTTCCCATTCCAATCTCAAAACATGCATTCAAATGGATTTTGTCAGGACAGAATGTGGCCACAAGATTTGAAGGGGACCCCTGAGAAAGCTATGCCCAAATGACTGTTGATTTTATACCCATGATTCGGGTATATCCAGTTCTTAGTGGTTATACCCAACTATATCTCCGTTAAATCCTTATCATACTAAACGTTTGTTTCAACAATATCAATTACCATCTGGTTATTTAACATAGCCATGGAAAATGGCCCATAGAAATAGATGGTTTACCTATTAATAGCATGGTGATTTTCCATGGCAAACTGTTAATTAACCAGAGGGTATATCCCCATTACATCCACATTTCCTATCCCCATCACCTTGCCAAGAACTGGTGGACATTGCCCATCAAGCCGTAGGCGAAGCCTTAAGTGCTTTGACCACTTTGCTGCCACCTCAGATGACGGAAGCAGCGACCCCAAATGAATCTATGAAATGGTTGAAACATGAGGTTTCGAAACTTATTTTCGAACAAAAACGATCAGTTTCTGCATGTAAAACTCATCCAAATTTGGACCTTGATGTTTAAGGATGTAGATTTTTCAAAACCTTCCCACATCGAGCCGGTGACGCTCAAAGCGATTTTCCGGTGCCGGCGACCAGGAGCCAATTGGACGCCTTGACCCTCAAGAAAGCACAGAAGCCTCCGGATGATGCGTTGGGTCTCGCAGTTATTTTAGCTCTTTTTAAATGGAGCTTTCCATGAGGATACCCCCAATAGCTAAATGGTTTACTTCATGGAAAATCAATCTATATCCCATAGGATCCATGTACTGTATGGTATATATGCTAACATTTGGGGTATATTGATGGTAAATGTTACCATATATAGCATACATGGATCCTATGGGTATATGAAATGGATGATTTAGGGGTACCCCCCATTCGTTTGGAAACCTCCAAACGGAAGAAAACCAAGCATCTTATCACGATTTATGGGGAAAAAATCGTGGATGGCCCAAACATATAAAAACACCATGCCATTTGAATAGGGCGACAAGGAAACTTATGATTAACCAGTGAATGTGGGGGGGTATCCTGTATATACATTATATTCTAAACAATATATATATATACTGATATTTATATATATATATTATAATATATAATATGATATATATATATAATTTATAGAATATTATATATGTGTACAACGTATAAACCCATTTGGATGGTGGTTACCAGCTCGGGTAGGGGTGCAAGTCTTCGGCCGCCAAGGTGGGCATCGTTCTTCTTACAGCAACAGCGATGTCGAGCACCTGAGGCCGCCCATCCCTTAGTGCGGAACAGCCATGGAGGTTTACCCTCTGGTAAACATACAAAGCTGATGAAAATGGCCATTTATAGTGGATTTTCCCAGCTAGAAAATGGTGACTTTCCATAGTTATGTTAGTTTACCGGAGGTTTAGATCTGGGAAACTCATCGAACTGAAGGGTTTTCGATTGCCATCTTTGATTACCGGAGTATGTATATAGTTAATGGATGTTAATGGATGTTAATGGATGTTACTGGGTTTATAGGTTGGATAGTCAATGGCTGAAATAAACCAATTTAGAAGTGGGGGCATTGTTCGGCAAGATGTAGCAATTGAGTCAAAAGGGTCAAGTTGATAGCAACAGTTCTGGACCTCCAGCTACAAAGCTTATTGGTGTTGCTTATGGCCAACGATGCTCCTCTAGGTTTCTCTGAAAATAAGATAATTACCCCAGAATTCTATGGGCTTGTCATAATTTGCCCCTTTAAAACAGACATAACTTGGGGTATCCCCCATTTTCCGACACACCCAAACATCATAAACTGTTGGTGATATATCCCATTATATCCTACATGCCCATGACAACCCCTCCGGATTTCCTCAGGATCTTGGCTGGCGCATCCTGAACTTCTGCGAGTGCGAGCTCTTTTGCGATGGTGCCGCAGGGACAGCGGGAGAAGCAGAGATATCAGACAGAGATCATCAGAGAGAGCAAGATTGGGATATTTTACGGATATTTTCGCAACACTGGATTTTTTTAATGATTTTTTGTTTATTGCCAAAGAGCGAGGATTGTGGATGTGTACAATGATCTTGAGGCAAAACATATCATTTTGGTGGACTTTAGGGCTCCAGCGGGCCAGCCATCACCAGCGGGTCACCAAATGCGTCATGGAGCCACCAAGTCCTGCAGCTGCAGGTCCAGCTGGTCCATTGTGAACAAGGTAGGTTCTTTTAGGATCTTTTAGGAGATTGGATGGATTGAACAGCAATGCCTAGTGAAAGATGGTCATTTTTGTAGATGAAGTTTGAAAGCCCCTGCCTTTACAGTGAGGGATAACACCTAAATACACCATGATTTTTCATCTATTTTGACATGGTCAGTGTGAGTTTGGTGGTGCCAACATGTATCAACTGGATCATACATCCTATCCCCAACATGTTTTGATGTTTGACAAATAATCTCCAAATATCCCCAAGATGTGGTGATTTTCTTGGAATTCCGCTGGGATTTTTCGCACACCTTAGGTGCAGCAAATACCTTGGCACTTGTGCCACAAGTCCGTCTGGTGGAGCAGGGTGGCCTCAGTTTGACTCAGGGCGGCCACTGACGCTGAACAAATGGTGGAATGACTGGAATGGTGATGGACTGGATTCTCATAGATTATCATCTAGACTATCATCTAAATTATCATAGATTATCATCTAGATTTTTATGGAGTTATTATTATCATCACATGATCTGAAAAACTTGGAATGGAAATCATCAGGCCGATCCTGAAATGTTACTTAGCTTTGGACTGGTATTGTATCTTACTATGAGAGATCCTGAGATGTCATCTGAAGATCAAAATAAGTTTCCTACTAATATATTTGAAAGCGGCGTTTCTACATTTCTGCGGGGTTACTGTATTTTCTTACACTGTCTTATTACTTACTATATCGTAGTACTATGAGCTATGCAGATATCGGTCAGGGTGACCCCGCTACTGGTTTCATCCGTTGAGTCTGGCAGCTGTGAGGGTCCAAAACCTCACCCATCTGACTTTTGGGCCAAGAACATATAGCCACCACAGGGAATTGCCAAGAAAGGAAGGATCAACATCCAAGAAAATCTCAGAGGAAAAAAAGTTAATTACTGACCTTTAACTGCAAGAATGTCTGGTCAAGAGGTCGACGTGCTGTGCTGGAATATGCTCCATGAGTCTGGGAAATGGCCATAACTAACGTCACTAACTTCGGAGGCATTTCCGTTTTTTCTTGAAAATGCCGCATCCCCAAATTCCAGTGGACTCGCATCATTTACATTAAATGACATCCCCCTTGGAATTTCCACTACAAAATTGGGAACGTTGAGGCCAGGAAAATGGTCCATTTTAACCCCCTGACTTAATAAGGGGTACCTACCCAACGTCAGTGCTTACAATTTTATAGAGGACCTTGGGGCCTCAATTCTATAGAGATTTCATGCTGAATACAGCACTGAGGACTGGTCCTAGGGACTTCAATTCTATAGTGGGATATGTTCTTTTTGGATGTATGTCATGTTCTTCAATTCTATAGTGAAGTATTGGCAGAACCAATTTCCCACAACAATTCTTTGATCATCCTTGTATATCCTTGTATATCCTTGTATATTTTGGAATCATTTGGATTCATTTGGAATCGTGACATTTTTTTGCAATGTTTTGTATACTTTTTGTATTCTTGTATATTTCATCAGTTATTGATCTGTGATGCTGCTTTGCTGCTTTTCAGGTGGGACATAAGGCAGGGGTTGCCTGAGTCCCTTCAACAAGAAACAAAAGGCTAAATGAAGGGACGCACAGAATCCTGGGCATTCTATGCTCGGAATCTTGTTCTCCTCTCTGTCTGTGTTGCTCTGCGCACGCGCCTTCCGGACATGTGTATTGGAGTCCAGGTGTTGTGTGAGGAACTTCTTGACCGACTTCAAGACAAATTTCCCAGATGCCAGCTTGTTGAGCTTGCCTTGAGGTTGTGACTTCGTTGTGCAAATGTTACATCTGTATTTCAAGCTGTCCCCCTCCAAAATCATCTCGATAATTGGCTCGTGTGATTTAACCCAATTGATGCAGCTCTAGCGCGCGTCCACTCCAGGTTCCTGCTCCTCTTCCACGCCTGCTTCTGCAGGAGATTGTGCAGGCTGACGCTGCGCATCGAGGAAATTTGTGATAGCTGCTTCGTCATCCAACATGTGAGTGATCTTCTCAAGAGTCAGATTTGCACCTTGCAGCAAGCGGGCACAAACGCCACAAGTTTTCTCAGGTTTCTTGCTGGTGTTGCTCTGGCTCTGGCAGAGAAGATACTGCTTGAAGGAACTCCATTTCCCGTCTGGGCAACAACCGGCATTTTTAACTTTGTTTGCTCTCCTATGCTCAGTCAACCATGGGAGGTAGGTCAAGCCCTGCTGAGCAAGTAGCCACTGCAACTTTTCCATCTTGACTTCATTCTCACTTTTTGGTCTCGATCTGTACTTCCGCTCATGGTGTGCCCTGTGATCTGTCTGGCCTCCTTGCCTTTCGTCAAGCATGCTTTCATCCATGTTTTCCGGTGGAAGAGCATTCAAGTCTAGCATGGCATTGGCAAACTCTTCCTCAACATCTGGGCGTTCAGGTTCTAGAAGCTTCTCGACTTTTTTTTTGTTTTTGGAAGGGCCTGGAAGTTGTAGTTGTGGTGAAGCTGGGAACTGATTGACAGCCACAGGCGCTGCTTTCCCCTCCCCGGCTTTCCTGACCCTTTTGCATTCAACACGTGGTGGAGTGACCATGGCACCATCTTCTCCGGTGTCTTCTGGTGGACTCTTGCGCTTGGTTCCGTTTTTAGGGGCCTTTTTCGGGGGAGTCTTCACTTCTTCTTCTTCTTCTGGTTGAGCCTCTGCGTAATCAGTGTGGAATGTAGCGAACAACTCTTGCCACAGGGGATCTTCCATCTTGGCAATCCAAGCATCCTTGAAAAAAGTGCGGACCTTCTTCTTCTCAGATTTGGCCTTCCTACTCTCGTACTCCCATTCCTGGCCATTGTGCCCAAGCAACAAGCATCGGATGGCCCACGCCATGCAGTCTCCATCAGCTGGCACATCAAGTGGCGCAATGCCGGCTGCAGAACATCTGCGGTTGAACTGGATCCAATTCTCAATCCTCAGGTAATCAGGTGAGCAGAGCTGATTCTCATCTGAATTCTCACTGGCCAAAAAAAAGGTGCAGCGGCGAACGTCATGGTGAATCAGTGATTCATTGGTGTGAGTTCTTCTCAAATAGACCCAAAAGATCTCAAGAGTATTCAAATTACAGGAAAGTATATATATATAATTATAGATATAGATAGAGAGAGAGATATATATATATATCTTCGAGACACCTCAACAAATCTTCCCATATCCCAACGGGGCAGGACAAGAAACCTGGTCTTCTCCTCTTCGATTCCAAAAATTTTGGATTCCAATAAAGCTGGGTCAGGATCATCTGGCCTCTGCGCTTCTAAATGACGCAAAGCCTTGCGATGCGCTACCACTTGTTGCATGGCTTTGCTCTGCTCCATTTGGGTCAGATCAAAGAAGTGGTCAGGCACAGCTTCTTTAAAGAATCCGGGGCACCAATGGTTCATTTGTCCCTGAGGATCAAAAGAGGCATTGCAAGAAATGAGGCACCATGACTTCTGATCTAGCTCTTCAGCAACACCTAGTGTGCCACCTTGTGGCCAAACTCCCCCCCAAAGATTCTTCACAGTTGTGCACTCCAACACTTCGTGTGGCCCATCACGCACAAAGGCAACTTTCTGGCCAGCCACTATTGCGAAGAGCTGTGCGTCCACAACGTCCAGATAGAAGCCATCTTTGGAAGCCAATGCAGCGTATTTGTGGATCTTCTTTGCCATATCGCTCTTTGGCTCAACTCCTGCCAAAAAATGCCAAAAAACAACTCTATAGAATTGAAGTGCTCAACCCCCACGCTCGAATTTGCCTCTATAAAATTGAAAACACCAACCCTGGTACCAGATTAGCCTCTATAGAATCAAAGGATCCAAGGTCACACCTTCCTGGATCCCCCAAAATACTGGGGCATGCAGGGTTTCCTGGGGAATTCCTGGGATTCCTAGGAAAGATTGGTTGGGGGATGTTAGGGGCCGGTTGAAGTCCCAACTGTCCCCTCGTCATTAAAAGTTGGGCAGTCCCTGGTCATTCCCTAGCATTTCCTCAGAAAAACCAAAGATTCTTGGGGGATCTTGGGGGTATTCCTCCTATTTTGGGGTGTCTAAAATCAGGACGTCAGGGGCAGGGGGCTTGATTTTATAGGAGCAATTCTGGTTGGGCACCTTGATGCCTTTGATTCTATAGAGGTATTTTCGGCCTGGGGGGTCACGTATCTCGATTTTATAGTGGTTGAATTTTATATATCTGAAATAATTCTGAAATCATTTCTGTTTTGAAGCTTTCCCTACCATTCCCTGCAGCTTAGCATCCCGTCCTGGCTTGTCTGGAAGCGGAAACGTCAACATCAGAGCTCTCAGATCTTTGCTGCTGCTTTTGGGTCCGCGTTTTCTAGACGGCGTCTTTGGGTCAGAGACTGTCTTGCTTGCAGGCTCAGGTTTTGCTGCTTTTGGTTGTGGCAATTGCTTGTCTGGCTTGCTTGCTGTCTCAGATTTCACTGCTGTTCGTTCTGGCAACTGCTGGGTCAGCTCGTGTTTGGTTGCTGGCTCAGAATTCGCTGCTGCTGGTTCTGGCAAGTGCTTGTCTGTCTTGATTGCTGTCTCAGATTTCACTGCTGTTCGTTCTGGCAACTGCTGGGTCGGCTCGTGTTTGGTTGCTGGCTGAGAATTCGCTGCTGTTGGTTGTGGCAACTGCTTGTCTGGCTTGCTTGCTGTCTCAGATTTCACTGCTGTTCGTTCTGGCACCTGCTGGGTCGGCTCGTGCTCGGTTGCTCGCTCAGAATTCGCTGCTGTTGGTTCTGGCAAGTGCTTGTCTGGCTTGCTTGCTGTCTCAGATTTCACTGCTGTTGCTTCTGGCACCTGCTGGGTCGGCTTTGGTTGTTGTGGCTGCTTCAGGTCTGGCTTCTCCACTGGATCAGATTTCGGCGCTGTGGCCGCTTTGGGAACTTCTGGCTGGGATTGATCTGTCTGGGCTCCAGCAGTTGGCGCAGTGGAGCTCGCATCTGGCAAGGACAGTGCTCGTGGTGGAACTTCTGGATGGGAAACATCTGTCTCGGGTCGTTCTGTGTGTGGATTGGTGGTAGAAGCTGGTGAAGATGGTGCTTGCTCTGCAACTTTTGGCTTGGATTGCTGTGCCAGGGCTGAATCTGTCGCTGCAGTGGTGCTTGCAGCTGGCAAGGATGACGCTCCTTGTGGAACCCCTGACCACCACTGTGGCTTTGGTCGTTGTGGCTGCTTCCGGTCTGGGTTCTTCTCTGGCTGCTGTGCCTGGGCTGAGTCTGTTGCTGCAGCGGTTCCCGCATCTGGCAAGGATGGTTCTTGTGGTGGAACTTCTGGATGGGAATTATCTGTCTTGGCTCGTTCTGTGGGCGCACTCGTGGTAGAAGCTGGCAAAGCTGGCGCTTCCTCTTCAACTTCTGGCTTGGATTGCTGTGCCATGGCTGAATCTGTCGCTGCAGTGGTGCTTGCATCTGGCAAGGATGGTGCCCTCTGTGGAGTTTCTGTTGTTTCTGTTGGCTTTGGACATTGGCTTCTCCACTGGATCAGATTTCGACGCTGTGGCCGCTTTGGGAACTTCTGGCTGGGATTGATCTGTCTGGGCTCCAGCAGTTGTCGCAGTGGAGCTTGCATCTGGCAAGGACAGTGCTCGTGGTGGAACTTCTGGATGGGAAACATCTGTCTTGGATGGCTGTGCCTGGGCTGAATCTGTCGCTGGAGCGGTGCTCGCATTTGGCGAGGAAGCATCTCTCTGGGCTTGCTCTGTCGGCAGGCTGGTGGCAGAAGCTGCTTGTGTCGCAGCTTCAGCTGCAGCTGGGCATGCTGCTTGTAGCGGTTCCTGCGAAGCACTGCTTGAATTTGCTTCTGCCTGTGCCGGCGTCTGGGCGCAAAAACCTACAACCACTTCTGATCGCTTCAATATCTATGAAATATGAAAGAAAAATAGACAATTCCATACAATTCCAAATCTTCTCAATATATTCCCAAGATGATGCAACATATTCCGAAATAAACCACAATTTTATTGCGCATACAAATGCATATAATACATACATATAGATCATTAGATATCATGAGAATTCATTAGACATGTTAGAATGCGTAAAATATGTATAAATACCAAAAATATCCAAAAATATTCCACACGAATCTAGCGGAAACCATGTTGATCCACCGTGATCAACCCAGCTTTGCATCGTATTGTACCTGGGCATCATGGGCATCATCCCCAAATTCATTCGCTGGCTCAGGAACCTCAAGTCGCACAGGACATAACCAGCTATCTCCATACAGCAGATTTTTTGAGCTCGTGGTTTTACATGGGTTTACGTTGGTTTTACATGGTTTTACTATATATTGGCTTTCCATTGTGCCCACATTGCTGTTCATTCTCCAGACATCTTCGGACCAATGACATGTGTCGACGTACACCATATGGTATCTCCCTTCTATTGCCTCACACTGTGTGGTAGCCAAAAAGATCAATGCAGATCAGATCCCAAAAAAACAATTTAAAAACAAAAAACAGAAATAAAAATAAAAAACAAAAAATAACAAAAATAATCAAAAATACTCTGACGTCAAAGTAGATAGCTCAGAATCTTGAGTTGCGCCATCTATGTCAAATGCAAGATGCGGAGGATAGAAATCAATGTTGAGGCTCAGTTGTGCCCCAGATTTTTTTGGTATTTTAACAAGTCTATAAAATTGAAGGGCATGACATTGAAGATTTAGAGCCTTTGCTCTCTACAAAATTGAAGTGCAAAAGGCAAACTAGGCAATAGCAAATACAGTATTCAGGTCAGCTGTCAATAAAGAAGGGATGGGTAACCCAATTTTATAGGAGGCCAACTAACCCCCCCAACCATGTATGAAGGTACCTTGGTGGCATCGATTTTATAGAGAATGTCAACTTGAAAAGACCTTGGGGTCTCTGATTCTATAGATGCATTTTCAGAAAGGGGGGTCATGTACTCCTGATTTATCATTATAAAATTGGCAACACCAACCCTTTGACTTAATACAAAGGGGGATTAAATGACCATTTTTTTGGGGGGGTATACCCCGATTTCAGACATACTCAGACTCATATTCAATCATCTAGAGTCCTTCAGAGTCCTTCAGAGTTTAGTTCAGCAGTTGCAGTGGAAACGCGTGGCAGTTGCAGCACCATCCAGTGGCAATGCACGCACGCGCTCAACGGCTCTGCGGAGCGGTATATGGCCGAGCAGAGGCTGGCGCTACGGAGCGCTGGTAGTCATCAAACCCACCTCTGGTGGTTGGAGAATCCACCAGTTATAGATGATTTTCCCATGAAACCTCTGGATTTATAGAGGATTTTCACGAACGCCGTGTTTGATTAGCGCAGGGTATTCACTGTTTTAGTGCGTACCTGTTTCACTGGTTGCAATGAAACATCAATCCAGGAGTCTTTATAGAGATTTGAGTCATGTTGAGTCTAATTATGCAACCGTGACTGGAAAAAACCGTCATTTCTTGGTGACCAGATTCTGCCATTCCACATCTTCTGACTAGATCATGTACCCTCTGGTTATTTAACATAGCTATGGAAAATGGCCCATTTATAGATGGTTTACCTATTAAAAATGGTGATTTTCAATAGCTATGTTAAATTACCAGAGGGTACACATTTTCCATGATTGAGGATCTCGGCTAAGCATTGCCATTCAATTCCTCCTACCTGACCTAGACTGATTGATGGTAGCTTAATCAATCATTATGGTTGCCATTTTTGATCCCAGCCAGCAAAGGAAATGGAAAACACAGCAATGGAAAATCCTCCATTTATAGATGGTTTTCCCAAAATGTTCATTTCTAGATGATTTTCGTCTATTTTCCCATAGGTTTTCCTCTTAAAATATCCATGTTTCCAGGGGCCCTTTCCTCGCCAGGGTCCCCGTGCCCTCGACCGAGCTGCGCTTGCTGCGCTGCGGTCTACGGGGCCTGGCAGATGTGCCGCAGCTGCGGGCACCGGAGGGGCAGAGGCGGGCAGAGGTGTGCAGATGGCAGGAGGAAGATGGAGAAGGGATGAGGATATCATTAAACAAATGGTATTAAATATCTGATGGTATTAGATAATATACAGTATAATCTTTAAATGCTATTAAATGCATAGGATGTTTGATGGATTGATGGTTATCATTGAACTATAACATTAATAGCCACAATACCATAAGGATGGCATCTATGGTATTAAATGCATGGGATGTTTGATGGTGATATTATTGGGATATGAATGGTATATTGGTAGATACATGTAGATACCCATCGAACTAAGTCCAGGCTTTAATGGGAAAATCATCGAACTAAATATGGTAGATATCAATGGGACATTAATGGTATGTTTACTATAAATGGATATCAATGGTATATGGTGGTATATGGATATATATCTACTGTATGTGTTCATGTAATGAAAAAATAGTAGCATATCAGGTGTCAATATCTATACGTAATGTTCGCAGATAATATACCATATAGATAAGGATTGTGGATGTTTATTATGGTATACATATAGTCATAAATACATGTAAGGGATATTAATGGAATATATCTATACAACATATATCTGTATATAAATGGGATATGAATGGAACATTAATCATATATATATATATATATCTAGTTGGTGGAGGTTGATGGGTTTCTTAGAAAGGGGAATTCCCCAGAAAATGATTTCAGGTCTAAAGTGGTCACTATAATTGGGATAT